AGCGTGTTAAATTTGAAATACCAAATGTAAAGTCGACTAGCCCAATCATAGAAATAAATGTAGAAAAGTTAGACCTTGTTAATAAAGCTGTCTTTTTGGGAGTAACCCTTTTTTCCTATATCTATGGAGTGACCTTAGATAGTAAACTCCAATGGTTTCCACATATATCTTCCTTGGTCAGTAGATTACGCTCTACTGTATGCGCAGTCCGTAGAATACGTGAACTTACCGATGTTGCTACTGCTAGCCTAGTTTACGGGATTCTCATGTGGGGTGAAGCCACAACAATATTTGTTGAAAGATTTGTGAAAAGTTTAAGGAGACTGGTATCATGACGTGGCATCACTGTACATTTACTCAAATATTTTATATGCCCGTAAGAATATACATAAATTCGTTAAGAAAGAAGATATCCAAGAAGTTAACCTTAGAACTAAGTCCAAAATCAAGGTACCACGTTTTCGTTTAACTAAGGTAAACGATTCTTTTATGGAGCACGGAGTATATATTTAGATTACCATTTCTTAAGTTTAAAACTTACATTAAAAGTATTTTAATTGAAAAGTCATATTACAAAATTGTAGACTACGTGTTATATAAAGATGTACGGAGGGACAACGTGATTCTAGCTTCCACACAAATATGATTCAAAATGTATTCTATAGCATTTGAGTTTACTTGAGAAGAGCAATCCCCAGAGTTTCTTGCACGTTCTTCTCAGAGAGGTCAGCGTAGTGAACGAGCAGTAGCCTAAAAAATGGCGTTTTGAAATGTAAAAAATTTACCTATGGAATAAACGAGCATTTGACTTTGACTTATATTTTTATTTTCATTTATAAGTGTAAAAACTGTAGATATATATTGTAAGTCTTTAATTCTGAGATTGAAAAAAAAAGCATTTATTACATTAGATTGTCGTAGTTATCTATACAATATTATGTATAAATAAATAAATAAATCTCTTTATTGTTCATTAGTAGAACGTATTTAACAGCAAGTGCTTATTCTGCTGTTGTGGCTTGTCTCTTTATTATTATTTAAAATAATGTATCTAATAACAGGAGCTTGTCCTGCTCCTGCTGCAGTGGCTCGTAGTGGTTTATATTCTCAATGGTAGCTCGTTTCCGGCGAAAAAGTAGATATTTGAAAACTACTGATTTCTGGCTGCCACTGGATTAATTAATTTAAAAAAATGTAATAATAAGCCTTTACCCACATAAGATCATTATCTATACGATTAATAGGCATTCTAAGGGGTGGAGTCCTGGTGACCTGAAATACAGACTTGAAATACGTCTAGTTTAGGCACCAGTCTCCCACAATATAATTCTTTCTTTTTCTTTTTTTATGTATAGTGCTTGTGATTATGCTCAATGTACCGATATTGTGGTGAGAAAATAAACAAACTTATTATTAAACTAATTATTATTACATTACAGGTAAATGCACTTGGCTGCTTTTTGTACTTTCCCAAGCATGGTTTCTGGCATGATTGAGATATATTATGTATAGGCTTTGGCAACATTACTTCGGTAAATTTTACGGTAAACAAAAATTCCGTGCTTTTATTACCTTCGTAAGCGTATCAAATATTGACCACGATTGTCAAATAAAATCGCACAATAAAATAATCCTAACTCTTTTGGACGATGTTGCCGACTTACTTTCCCTCATCTTACAACGAAATTATTAGGCTATATAAACTTAAAACTTTACTAGAAAAAGCTTATTTTTCTCGCATTCGCTTATTTAAATATAAAATAAAACTTATTTTATTTTTTTATTTATAACAGTCAAGATGTAGAGTTGGAATACTGACGCATTTGATTTTTGAACGCAGTAAAATGTCGTATGAATAGTACCGCCAGTGTGCGGCGCTGACCACTGCCCCCCCGCAACCCATCCCCGCGCGACGGATCGTTCGTATCGTCACTGTTGCACTGTTCTAGGGTGGTTCTAGGTGGCACGGTGCGGCGCACCAGCTTTCATCAAGGTTGTTATAATTTGAGAATGGTAATGGTTTTCATAAACATATTTCTGTAATAAATTAGTTATGGCGTTGATGAGGTCAAAAAGGTACTATTTGTAACTAAAGAGCTATCTACAGAGCAAAGCTTTTTATTCACTTAAAGAATACTTTTTAGAAAATAGTGCTTAAAAACGAATTATCAAGTTTATAATTTGTAAAGTATGTCAAATAGACAGACATAAATATATAGATATAATTATTATGTGAACAAAATATGCGTGATTTATGGAACTATGTTTTTTCTGATAATCATTGCCATGGATTTGCATTGGCCGTCGCCACAGTTTCAAATGTTAGAGGCAAATCACTTGTAGCAGCTTCCGTACTAAACCCCCTTGTCTTGTCAGTTTCCATCGCGTCACCTATTGAAGCAATTTTTTTGTGATACCAAGGGACGGGACGAACAGTCGTGCTCGTTTGCCTGGCAGTAAGCAATCAGAGCAGTTCATAGAGTTTTACTGCCCAATATCGATGACTGCCAAACAGACAAGGGGACTAAGGGGGCATTGACACCAGTTTCCATGATTGACTTCCCGCATTCGTAAATGCTCATCCCAACCGTGACTTCCCGATATCGTTCACTCCCATTTTCAATGAATTACCTACGCAACTTATTCACTTCGCCAGTACTGAGATTTATGAATAACCAATTAAATCTGACTTTTCAAATACCGAAAAAAGACACGTATGACTAATGTCACATGTTCATGAACACCGAAAACCCCTCTGAACATTTGAAACCAGACTATGAAAGGCGTCTAACAAATAAAACTGTTGCTAGACATAAGAACTCTGAGAGGCCAACCAGTCAAATGGTACCATCTCATATGTGACATTTGACTTTCAAACACAAAGACTTCTTTCCTGTCTTCATGGTCAAATAAGAGTACTCTACTACAAACCTAAATTGTCTTCTTACAATTTTACTATCTATGACATGATTGGGTTACGTGTAGGATGGGAGTGTAGTAAAGCGAGCTGTTAGTGAGGTCGCTAGTTGTCTCTAGGTACAAATTTTATTAAAGATTTTTCCGAAAATAAAAATGTGCGTTAATTCAGATTATGATCAGATAAATGTGCATAGAAACAAGTCTGTGTTCGCCATGTTCCTAATTGAGTAACACTAATTCTGGGTGTGACACAGTCTGTATACTCTACAATTGAAAGAGTTGGGGAACGAGGTTAAGGTTGAGGATATACACTCTGCCAAAATATTCTACACTATAGCTTAGTCGATGATTGTATGACTCTGGTTGTTCACAAGGAAACAAGGGCCCGTAAGAGCGTTGGCGCACTTCGTCCGATTCATATCAGTTCGAATCCGATAATGGCGGTCCGAAATGTCACAGGGATAATTTTTTCTCTAGGTGTACAAGTGATATTCGTATTTTCTCGGATTAGAATCGGACTTTGTGCACAAGCGACATCCGAAGTGGGTCCGAGTTCTCAAGACTTCTGTAGTCTTGGATTCGGAACGAATACGAATCGGATGCAGTGCGCAAACGCGCTTACGCTTACGCTAGTGCACTAAAATGCGTATTTTGAGCCGATTGCCAATTCCAATGATACATTTGAAAGTTTCATTAATCTGTGCAAGATAGTCCGAATCTTCTTAATTTTGTAAGTACCTAGGTAAATGGATTGATCTCATGAAAAAATATACTAAGAAATTATAAATATATTACTATTAAGGTGAATTGGATAAATACTTAGATACTCTAAGAGTAACATACCTATTAGAATATTATCATAATAAATGTTCTTAGTTACTATTTACATTAATTTAAAAAAATTAAATTATAAATGATTGAGAGTTTAAGTAAGTACCTATATTTTTAACGTTTGATACAGCATTTGATTTTAATAGTATATTTCTGTTTGCAAAACTGTTGATTTCCGATTAATTTTAGTTATAAATGAATACACAAAAATTAAAATTAAGGCTGTTTTGGTTTGTTTCCTATTTTGTACTTTTTACTTTTAATATGCTATTTAACTTTAGATCCAAAAGACATTTACTAAACACATTACCAAGTTATATGATATAAACAATTTTTATGTGCGTTATTTTTTTAATATAAAACTTGCAATCGATATAAAATTGTTGTTTTCCGATTCATCAGTTTGAAATACATCAAATAGTTTGATACGTATTCCCTAAAACATCGGCGGATATTATAATACGTCATGTATTATACAATAATGGTCTATCCACACTTATCCGGGACGTGGACGGCCCCTGCTCCGTCAGGGACTCAAAGAAATATCGTTGCGTATATTTTGTATGAACTCGTTCACACATGTCCGTGCCCGGGCCGGGGCCGGGACGGGTCGGCAGTTCATACAAACCAGCACGCCGCGGCCACGGCCCTGATGGGTGTTGATAGTCCTTTAAACTCTGCTCAATAACGTTGTATTATAACATACGTCACATTAGAGCCCGTGGAACAAAGACGCATGTGACTTTTTACAAAATCTAGATATATTAGGGACTTTTTTGTACGTCATTTTGTAAAAGTCCATACACAGTAATATGTCCAAATTTGAAACTAAAAAATATGACATAAAACCTCATTAAAAACTTTAAAGTGCTCTACTGTAAAGTTGTTGAATTTCAGAACCGTCTTTGTGCTACGAATGCGACGATTCAATGTAGAAACTAACTTATCGATGAAGATATAAATTGTATAAATACACAACAGTCGTCACACGCACAATTGCAAAAAATTAAGAAAATTATATTCCGATTTCTAGATTTCCACTGTAAAAAAAATATTATTTTTACTTGCGTTGAGGTAATTCCAACTCCAATTATTTTGGTCATCTCAACCATTCAGCTCACCAGGACTTCGAAGTTTGTATACAAACTACAAACGCATTTTATAAATTTATTGAATAAAACCATGTAGCTAATAAAAAACATTTTATTGCTTTCACCATAACAAGTTGAAACAAGTCAGAGTGTGCGACAAACCAACGGCCTCCATATTATATAATAAATAAATAAATAAGCTCTAAGGAAAACACAACAATTCACCTGAAACAAGGTCGGTTAACTATACTTTTGGTAAGAGCGCAAACACGTTCAATTACGTACAGAACGAGTATCAATCGACAAACTAAAATTGCACATATATCTACATACACATTTCATCATAATTGGTACATTCCCGGTGTCCAAATCAATTATGCGCAATTAATTCAAAAGTTTGAATGTTGTAGTGTTAACTAAGTTCTATGCAACGAAGCGGAATCTGACAAAACAATTATTTCTGTTCCTAGCGAGTATTCGATTAGATTAGGTTTGCAATTTGCCTCTACTTTATGGATAAGCATTCGTCATTTGCCAGGTGACCGTTTTATTGTTAAGCATTTAAACCTGTCGATATTTTTAGATTAGGCTTTGATCTTATAGGCGCATAATTAAATCGAAAAACCCAAATAGCCTTTACATGATGATCGAGCTATATCACAGCCCGAGATATTTGTTCGATGCCCCCTCTCACTCGTTCGCGTACACAAAATATACTCTGTCCTTACACAAAATATTAATCACAGTTTCCTGAAAACGTGATTACTTACTATACCTTATCAGCGATGTACATTGGTTGTTTCACTTGCGATGTGTTAGAAATTTCAAAAAGTAGTTGGTAGAGGCTGTCGGGATCCTATTCGACTCTCAAATATTAGAACTACATCAATTGGTGTTGTCAAAAGAAGGAATGGTTTGTAAAATTCGGCAAAATGGCGTGGAAAAAGATTTTTTCCATTCGTCATATAAAGAGACGGAATTCACAAGTCATTTTTGGAAAACTGGCAAAAAAAATTAAAAAATCAATCGTGCCAGCAGTCATATGTCCCATTTGTCTGGTTGGCACCAATACAGCAAAATTCTACTTGATATGAAAAACGATATATTAGTTTATTTTGTTAGTTTTCCAAAAGTGTTAGTTTTTTTGGAATTCCTCGTTTTGCATTACGTTTACGGTAATCCACGTTTCAAAGCGATCGATCACATATAGATTGCTTTATGTCGCGAGTCCTAGGTTAAGTTAAACCCAAACCCGACAAGTACCCGCACAACCTCGTCGTCGTCGGTCACATCGAGTAGGGCCAATCGTATTCCGAATACTTAGTCACATTTCGAACTTCAAAACGACTCTCATTTTTTTCATTTCTCATTTTAGAACGATTTTTTACGGTCGGCCGCGGTGGAGCACTAAACGTGACCAGAAATTCGCCACTGGTCAGGAATTGTACAAATGTCCAGCTCCGGCGGCCCGAGCCTCGCGAACGTCCTTCTCCGTCGACGGACCGCCCTCCGCGTCACAGGTCGGAGTGCGGCAGCAGCGTGTGCACGCGCTCGCGGTACAGCTGGCGCGCGTAGGCGGCGTGCTTGGCCACCCAGGCCGCCAGCTCGGCGCTGTCGCACTGCACGCGCGGGCGCCGCAGCGCCTCGGCCGCGCCGCCGCCGCGCACGCGCAGCTCCACGAAGTGCGCGCCGTCGGCCGCCACGGCCGCGCACGACACCAGGTTGCTGCGGACACGGGCTCGTCGCACTCGCGGCCCGCGGCGGCGGGGCGGGCGGGGGCGGGACCTACCTGAGGTGCGTCTCCATCACCACGTGCGGCGTCTGGTTCTTGCAGGTGAAGATGCGCAGGTAGGTGGCCGACAGCAGCGCGCGGATGTCGTGCGGCGTGTCGCGGATGAGGCGGTAGGCGAGGAACTGCTCGGAGTAGTCGTTGCCGTTGAGCGCGTGCAGCAGCGCGGCGCCGGCGGCCTGCGCGGCGCAGAAGCGCGGCAGCAGCCCGCCCGGCCCGCAGCAGCAGCGCGGCGGCCGCACGCGCGCCGGCACCCACTTGTCGGACCTGCGGGGCGCCGCGTCAGCTCCGGGGGCCCTCGCCGCCTCCCTGCCGCCCTCCCTCCGGCGCGCACCTGCGGCTGGTGTCCCGGAGCGCCGAGGCGGTCTCGGCCGCCAGGTCCAGCACGCCGATCACGGGCTTGGTGACGGTGCCCACCAGACCCTTGCCCACACCCGCCAGGAAGCCGGGCACGCCCTCCTGCGTCGCGCCCTCGTAGCTGTGCTTCACGAGGGACGTCATTCCGCCTGCGCGCGAACGCCGTTGGCGAGGGGTTAAGCCGAGGAACGACCGCGTTTTTAAGTCGAGCGAAGTGGATACGAACCGAGTATGCCGAGGCCGAGCCCGCGGAAGCCGGCGGCGATGTGGGAGCCGGTGGCCGCGCTCCGGATGCGCCTGCGCGTCTCCTCGTGCGCCTCGTCCGTCACCACGCGCTCCAGCCCGTCGCCCAGCGTCTCTGCGACGGCACGCGCGGTTACTTTGGTGACCGTTCAAAACCGATGGCGATGCTAACCGGCGCTTCCGATGCGCACCTGAAACCTTGGCCGCCGAGTTGGAGATGCCGTGCGTGACGTTCTTCAGCAGCGCGGTCACGTTGCCCTCGAACAAGAACCCCGACACGCCCTCGGACACGTCCGCCACGAAGCCCAAAGGGTTGCCCAGGAAATCCACGGAGCCCAGGATTTTTGCCGCTTGCCATTTAAGCTCCTGCACCGTACGTTACAAGTCATTTCATTTTCGTTACAAGTTCATAAGTGAGTCACTTTAAACGCAAACTTTCAAGCGAATCGTAACTAATCAGAAACTTTTGGTTTCGTGCACCCGGCCGAGCTGTGATTTGTGACACTCGATTCTCGCTCGACGACTCGACGATGATTTTATTGAAATAACATTATATTTACACAGGTGAATTAAAATATTTTTCAAAAATGCTCTTTATTTTGCTCCCTACGACGATATTCGACATTTAAACTGAATTTTCCTATACAATACCTCCTCATTATTGTGATATTATTCAATTGAAATAAAAGCTAAAATTTGCATTTCATTTCAATTTAAATCGTTTGAACAACTTTAAACCGGTTTTAATTACAATAAAAGGTATTCCCACATAACGCCACTTCCGATTGTTTTAGGTCAAGGCTGTTACCGCATTTCTGTCAGAAGCAGAAAACAGAATTATTTCTCAGTTTCAAAAAAGTGTTAGATATTATTATGATAATATATAACGGCGATATGAAGAGATGTCTGACAGGTCCAACCTATGAAATTGTTTTAGCGCAGTTGCCACGCAGAGGTCTCGGGCTCCATTATGGGCATAGGCAATGCACTTGACGCGCAAACCTAAAAGAAGTGATGTGCTGCGGAACAGATTCCAAACGTCGAATGAATATAACATAATTTATGTTTATGTTTAAACTAACACTAGCTTAAGTACTTTTTATTAACAAATATTATGGATCATGTTGTCTGAGAATAAAATTATTATTATTACTATTATTATTATAATTTAAGACCATTGCCCACTTGCGGTTTTTTTGTTAATGGTAACTTGTCTTACTTTTTAAAGAAAATATTCTAATATAAAAAATGAGTATTTTTATTGCACAATTTTATAATACAAAACTTCTTTGGGTTCTCCAGTAAAAATGGGTGTTCCGCAGGGCCCAATACTTGGACCTTTCTTATTTCTGATTTATATTAATGATCTACCGTTCTTTATTAAGGACCATTGCGAAATAGTATTGTTTGCTGATGACACATCCTTGATTTTTAAAACAGACAGACATGACATGACTATGACCATATTAATGATACCCTCTCTAAGGTAGTTTCTTGGTTTAATGCTAACAATTTATTGCTTAATACCAAGAAGACAAAATGTGTTAAATTTGAATTACCTAACGTAAAATCGTCTAGTCCAAGCATAGAAATAAACGGAGAAAATTAGACCTTGTTAATAAAGCAGTCTTCTTGAGAGTGACCTTAGATAGTAAACTTCAATGGTTTCCACATATATTTTCCCTGGCCAGCAGATTAAGCTCCGCTTCATATGCAGTCCGCAGAATACGTGAGCTTACCGATGTTAGTACTGCTAGACTAACTAAACTATGCTTCCATAGTAATATATAATGTCCTACGGGATTCTCATGTGGGGTAAAGCGGCAGATATTCAAACCATATTTGTATTGCAAAAACGAGCGATTCGTTCTGTGTAGCGTCTAGGCTCTCTGGTTTCTCTCAGAGAAAAGTTTAAGGAGACTGGTATTATGACTGTGGCATCACAGTACATTTACTCAAATATTTTATATGCCCGTAAAAATACATATAATTTCAATAAGAAAGAAGATATCCTTAGAGCTAAGTTCAAACTCATGGTACCACGATTTCGTTTAACCAAGGTAAATAACTCTTTTATGGGGAACTGTATACGTTTTTACAATAACATTCCGAAGCATATATTAAGTTTATCATTTCCTAAGTTTAAAAACTACATTAAAAATATTTTGATCGAAAAGTCATATTATAAAATTGAAGACTACGCGTTAGACAAAGATGTATGGAAAGACGACACGGCTCCAGAGTCCACACAGATTTGATTGAAAGTGTATTCCATAGCATTTAAGTTTATTTTGAAAAGAGCAATCCCTAGAGTTTCTTGCTCGTTCTTCTCAGGGAGGTCAGCGTAGTGAACGAGGAGTAGCTTAAATGTGACGTTTTCAAGTGTAAATTTAATTTACCTATGGAATAAATAATAATAATAATAATAATTTTATGCTCAGACAACGTGATCCATAATATTTGTTAATAAAAAGTACTTAAGCTAGTGTTAGTTTAAACAAAAATTAAAATAAAAATAAAGACAATACTATTATAATAATAATAATTAAATAATAATTTGTTTAATAGGCGGGATCTATAATGATCTTTGACTTCGACTTTGAGAAATCAAGACTAACATTTGTAAACGGGAATAAACGCGTTTACATACGAATAGGTATTTTTCACACCTGCCTAGTTTCCTGACATTTCGGCCAGGTTGCACTAGCCGTGGTCAGCGACTGACTGGTGATGCAGTGTTTACATCTCCATCTCAGCGGTGGAATCTTCATCCACCCGCATAACATTTTTTTTTCGCATAACACACAACACTAACGGTGTCCCTATTCTGTATCACAGCCATATTCTGGTACGCAGTCGATCGCGAATATTGAGTTTTTGCAAACAACAGATATGAATATGCTGCAGATAATTTGAAACCCGATTGAAATTACTAGGATGTTTTTTTATTTCAATCTTTTCTCGTACAACTCTTGAATAAAAGTGACGATCGGTGGAGAGAACATCGTACGATGGAACTCAATCCAGTGATATGTACTATTTTCCAGTAAATGTTCTGCAATCGCTGACTTATTACATTGGCGATTTTTTAAGGCTACGATATGTTCTTCGAGCCTTTCAATGACAGTTCTCTTTGTCTGGCCTATGTAGCAACTACCGCAACTGCAATCAATTTTGTAGACGCCAGGCGATATTCTGTAATCGTTGAGACTCGCTATTCGATATACGTTGGGCGGTTCAGCCGACGGTATCGATTTTGTCGACAAATGCTATTCTGTACAGTACTTTAACCGATCGTAACGACAATTCGGTTCAATACGTACGTTAAGTTTCGTTAAGATTCGAGATCTTTTATCGGCTATTCGAGGGAACCCTGTTTACGTCGGTATTCTTAACGACGCGCTTTCTTCTTACATTTCACTGTTAGATATTTGTGTTTTGATCGCATTAAGTGGAAAAAATTCACGTTTTGCCTTAAGATAGGCCAAAACGTTTCGTAATTGAAAGGGACTTGTTCTTGGCTGTGTCTTGTAATCACTTGTTTATGTCGTGATGTCGCGATTATAGAGGTTAAGGTGAGTGACGTTTCCCTAGTAAATTCTCATCTCATCAGATATTTATCTTAGTGGATGGAAAAAAATAATGTAAATATTTACAGAACTCCAATTTGCTTACTTGTCGTGATATATTATTTCATCCGCCATTTTGCTGCAGTATTCAGAAAAAATAGACAAACAGTACATTTTTCTTGAATGTGCCAAACTTTGCACAAACTAAATAACCATAGTTAAGAGTGTTTATAAATAACTATTAGAACGCTCGATCGTGATTGGTCGAGAAACATAGCCTCCCGTCGGGATGTTCCCATCTCGTCTTTTTTTCGTTAATGAACCGCTGACGTCACATCGCTGTCGGTACGCGTCGGTTGCAGTAACGATTTTCGTTATCGTGGATTTACAGTTCGGTAAGTTGTCGATACGGCAACCGACGACTTTCGCTATCAGAGCCATATCGAATCATAACGATAGCGATTATAGAACACCGCTCCAGGCGTTAGAAACGGTAAGAGGTCCTTCGGAGTACCCACCATATTGTTTACTTTTATGCTCGGAGTGTATATTGTCGATATGGAATATTGACGTAAAACGTCACCTAAACTAAACTTATCTTGTCCGTCACTCCTTTAACATGTGGGCTGGATGTCTATTCACTTCCGGATGCCTATATCTTCTTTTTGACTCTTTCCGTCGTCGTTGCACTAGGTATCCATTTTTTCTAAGTCCCTCCTGAACATGATCTAGCTCCTGCTCCAGATGCATTGCAAGTGGTGTGGATGGTGATGCGACGTTCCCGTTTCGAAATGTTAGTACAATCCAACGCGAAAGTTTAAAAGTACAAAAATTAAGTACCTGGCTGTCAAAGAGTAAAGTGTTGAACGTATCGTATATTTCAGTTAATTTACTTTACTTCTGTATTGAGCAATTTACTTTTTTTACCGGCTCACCATAGGACCTGGCAGAATCATCAGCGTCGTAGTTCGCCTGAACTGCAGCATAATGCTGAGTTGGGCCCTCTTTGCTGACACAGTAGACTCTCTCAACTCCAGGCCATGCCCGCAAACCTAGACTAGCCTTTATCTTTATCATTACCATTATATCCATATCGTAAGTTTGTTTGTAATGTACTGTGGTTCAGCAAACAAACGAGTTGGTAGTAGTAGGTAGTAACTATCTATCTATCTACTGTGCATACGTGCTATATCGGTCTCCACATTCAAAATTATTTTCAGAACAACTTAAAATTCCGTAATCAATAGCGGGGTAACTTAAATACTAGAGCCGAAAGAGGTTGATTATCGAAGAAGAGATACTGACTTCCTTGAAGTGCTTGAGCAGCTGTCGCGCGAGGCAGGCGGGCGTCTCGAAGGGGTGCGCTCGCACGAAGGGCTCCAGCTCTACGGCTGCGTCTTCAAAACGGATCAATGTCAGCCCCAGGCGCCGCTTCAACGTCGCCAGGTCGCTCTCCAGCTTGTTCGCCGTGCACATCGAAAGCCGGATCTATCATGTTATCATAATGTTGGGTATTTTTCCGAAAAATTTCAAAGTGTCAATTTTTCCGAAAAAATGTGTGAAAAATTGGAAAAATATAACTCGAACACTCATATTATGGTCTATGTTTAGATATATTTTTTGAAGTTTTATTTAACGTGAATCATAAAATAAAATTGTATAACTAAAAGTAAATTAGGAAAACGAGATTTAAAATTATTGGACGACAGCGAAAAATGAATCATAGGTAAAAAAATCTTTAAAAGTACTCCATCATTTTCGATACTAAAGTATATTCAATAGGTGTCAATTGTGAAATGTGGAAAAATATTCGGAAAAATATTCATTTTTTCCACGACCCAACACTATTTAATCATCTTCAAGCGCAAGTTCTAAAGTATCAAAAGGTAAACGCTTAACAGCCGACATCAATAGGCGTAACAAAAAATTAAGTAATTGCAACGTCACAAAAGTCTGACTTTTTTTTCGACACCATTGCGCGATGACAGGTTAGTTTTTCTTTTTATGACTTTTTGCGGTCAACATTGGCGCCAAGACTTATTTAACTTCATTTAAAAAAAACAAGGAAACCTTTTTGTACGATAAGAAATTTAAGATAACGGATTTAGGAAAAAAAATCGAATCGATAGAGGAATTTGTTAAGTAAATGTATACAACAGAGAACAAAAGGAAGAAAAAATATAATAATATATTAAAGATAACGGAACTACCTACATTTTTATATTATTATCTACAATAAATTACAGAAATACTTATAAATACGTGGATCATTAGATGACAAGAGTACCGGAAAGGACTTAGGTAGAGGTATACATGCTTGGACAAGGTTTTGAAAAAGTGAGGAATAATCATATTTGGGGCAGTTTGAAAATATGTGATTCAAATTTCCAACTTGACCACTATTAACAATATTCAATTTCGCAAGTTGTGCAGAAGTACAAACAAGATCCTACCGTCTACGAATCTAAATAAATGTTGTCGACCTATTATTATATTTAAGTGACGAAAACCACGGCTTTACAGGAACAGAAGGTTTATTTATTTATAGTACTCATTATCGGGATGAAGAAGTCGTGCGCCTGGTGGTAAGCGACACGCCTGCCCATAGCAGTCGCAGTGCCACTCACAAGCCTTCATATCATAGAAGTTTCATCGCAAAGATCTGAGGGCACTGCCACAGCGCCCGTCGCCCTGAGGCATAAGTTGACAAGACCCATGTGCCTGTAATTTCACCAGCACCCTTATCTTTCAAAACCAGAACGCAGTGATGCGAGCATTACTGCTTTGCGGCTACGCAATAGGCAAGGTGGCAGCGCTTTTTTAGACGGACTCTTTTACAGGAGTTCTACTGTTACTAGGTTGAATATAATGAATATAAGTTTCAAATTATCCTTTTACCGACGATCGACCGACATAGTAAAAACTTGCCTAATTACGAGGACTGCAGAGTAATTGCAGGAAATATTAAACAAATTGTAGTTAACAAATCACAAATAAGTCGAATTATTAATTGCAATTTAAATTGATTCGAAAGTAAGCAACGAAATCCGCCGAATCGAAGGTTTCCGCGCTTTTCTCGACAGGCGAATGGTGCGGTACCTGGCTGGGAATGACCTTGATGAGCGCGAAGTAGCAGCGGGTGGCGTTGAGCGAGGTCAGCTCGTCGAGGACGCGGCGCGCCTCGAACTCCGCCTCGTCGGGCTGCTCGGGGGCGCCCTCCTCCTCGCTCGGCCACGCCCACGCGTACAGCTTCAGGATCAGCCTGCGGGAAGGGGCCGGTGAGGCCGGTGCGCCTGGGGCGGGGCGGGGCGGGGCGGGGCGGGGGGACGCACCTCTCCTCCAGGCGCACGGCCAAGGGGCGCAGCGCGACGATGAGGTGGCGGAAGAAGTGGGCGTTGTAGCGCCGGGCCGGCGCGCGCATCAGCTCGGCGGCGGCGTGCAGCGCCGGCAGCGGCGGCGCGCCCGGGCCCGCGCGGTCCGGCAGGCAGTACAGCAGCACGGGGCTCGGGGTGCCCAGCAGCTGGTTGTCCCACTGCATCTGCTGCACGACGAGCGTGAGGCGCGCGGCGCGCGGGCCGGCCGCCAGCTCCAGCTGCAGGTGCGCGAACCGCGCGTGCACCAGCTCCGCGGGCGGCGCGCGCCCCACCAGCGACACGCCCAGCCCCGCCCA